GCGCTAAATGGTTTTCATAAGTGGGGGGTGGTCTGTGCTACTAAAATGTCCAAATTGACGTGTGCGTGACATGAGTACAATACCCCCCTGGACCGCATGGGGATGGACCCGGAATATGAAATTAGCCAATGCTAATGCTATAGCATCTTCTTACATCTCCTAAAACGGCGTTTACAGGATGGTTACCAGGTTAGATTAGTTGTTATGGAATTCTTGAAAGCAAAAAGAGTTTTTTCACATTTTCCATTTTTGAACCTGCCCATAGGACGGCGGAAATCGAAAGTGGTGGCACATTGGTTTTTCAACAAAGAAAACGAGCAGAGTTTGTGGCGAAGTAAGTGTGGCAATTTACAGAAAATCTTTAGGATTTGAGAATACAAAGATCTTTATGAAAAGCTGTAGGTTCTCTGTCTGTGAGGTCGAGCTGTTTAGTTACACTGAGTTCTATTGGAACATTCTTATGGGTAGCCCATGTGAATGTAGTCTGCGAGTACCACGGGCGCCCCTACTGTGCCATGGGAGGGACAGCTATAAGCTCTAGTAACACACTATCCAGTTATTCATAGATCTCATGCGTTCCTCCCAGTCTGCGCCAGTCGACGAGCTCCATGATGCTGTGCCACAAATACCGGTTTTATTATTAATAGAATACATGGTATGGGCTCTCCTGCTCGTGTAAGAGGGGCACGGAAATGTCCTGAACCAATCAAGCTGCTGAATCAGAGCTGAGTAGAGCAGGTAGTTAGAGTGGGAGGACAATTTGTGGCACTAGGGTGGATTTATAGAGAACCGAGGCGACTGGAAGAAGCGAAAAAAAGTTCGGATGAAAAGGGGACCATCTTATATTCCCAACATAACCCATGGAACTATAATATCTAAATTGTGTATTACTAGCTTTATATCTGTCCCACCTCCGGGCACAGGGGGGGGCGCCCACGGATACTGACAGACTAATTCATGCGGACATACCAGAAAAAGTCCATCAGAACTCAATGTAACTAAACAGCTAGACCTCAGTGACAGAGTACCTACAGACTTTCATAAAGATCTTTTTTGTCTTCCTCAAATCCTTAGAATTTCTGTCAAAATCCACACTTCCACTGCCACAACTCTGCTCGTTTTCTTTGTTGAAACAATTGTGCCAACACTTTCGCCGTCTATGGGAGTTTCAAAATGGAAAAGTGAAAAAACTCATTTGCTTTCAAAATCCTCACATAAACAACTAAGCTAGACTGTACCATCCTGTAAAGCCGTTTTAGAGAGGTAAGAAGATGCTCTATACATTCGCATTGGCTAATTTCTTTTTCAGGGTCCATCCCATCGTCAGGGGGGGTATTGTACGCATGCTCAGCACACGTCAATTTGGACATTTTAGAGCACAGGACCCACCACCACTGATGAAAACCCATTTGCGCATGCATTCGCGGAACCCGTACCATTAATTTAACAAGTGCCTTATGAAGTCCACAGGCAGCTAAAAAATAGACTGCGTCACACAAATTATATCCCCTCGGCATTGATCACATCTGTCAATGTTGCTTTGGGCAAATGGTGGCAAACTTTTAGGGACCACTCCTAGTTGAAGGTTTTGCAAGAGGAACCGTAGTGGCATGAAAGAGGGCAGATTGCAAGTATGTCGGCGCACTAGCTCATAGACCTTTTTGGAGCTGGACACGTCCCTATTGGTTTTCAACAGGTAGCTTGTAGGCAGGTTCTGAGCCAAAACATAAATGATCAGGAATCCTGAAAAGGGTAGAAGATCTGAAGTGGAAAAATATTAACTATCAATTAGCACAAATGAAACGGGCTGGAATGTGTGGTTTTCACTGGCTGCTGATGACGAAGATTGCTGCAGAGATGTGCTGCTCTACTGCAGGAGCCACACCCAACAGAATACTCAGGATGGGGACTGCAAGACCAGACTGGACAAGATTTTGTTTGTACCAAGAGAGAGTCTGTGACAAGGGATCATAGACTGTCCAAATCAGCAGCTTGCTAAGGGTGGCGTAGCTTCGGCCTTCAAGATAATCAAAACATCAAGTGGAAATTCACTCTTTGAAGAATGGATGAGTTCAACTTTCATCTGTTAGCATTAAGAATCTGCTAGCTTTAGGACCTGGCAGTTTTTTACGGGATGAAGATAGTTATCACTCAAGGATGCCCCCGTATCTACATCTTTTGGTCACATCTCAGCAGCACAGGATAAGGTTGGCCACTACAGTCTTCGACAGAGTCTTGTAAAATGAACATATTGTGAACAAATCAGACCACAAACCTGCTGTCCTCATCTTATTAGAAAACATTTTATCTTGTACTGGGACAGAGTGACCTAGTGAGGGTCTCCAGTCCAAAAATACATAAATATGACATTCAGTGATAAAGCCGAACAGTTTGAGGAATTGAGACTGATTGATTACACAGTTATGAGTGGGAAGTTATTTGAACATGGAACTAAAAAACAGAATTAGAACAAAAAAAACTACAACTATTAATACATGAGAAAAAAATACTCAGTAACTTTTTTGGTTTATTTTTCTATACATACAACCTTTTTTACTTAAGGTGAAAACCAAAAATTGATATTGTTTGTATAGACTCATTTTCTAGAAGACAATATTATTTACAGAGATGGGGGTTTTTTGGCACTTGCAGTTCACAGTTTGGTCCAGACACGCAGCGAGGTATCATGTGCTTCCTGTGATTGGCTAACAACCCTAAGCAGGTTGAGGATAGTAGCAATTGTCTTGTTCAACTCAAATGTGTTCCTCTTCGTATCTTCAAGAAAGAGAAGCGAAGTCGAAAGAATAACTATTTCAATGTTTTGCTCGGATTCAAGTTAAGATGACGTGCCACTAGAAGTTTTTATTGTATGTTTTATGAATATTGAGAATGTCCAAAATGTTTTCAATGATCATTATTTAACACTAGAATTCCTAGAAACAATAATATTTACGGCATAATTCACGGCAAATGATTTAACTGTGACTTTTTCTGTTTCTTTGTGTACTGAACACAACTATCTGTAGTCTGTCTAGACATCTACTCCATCTATCTATCTGTTCTATCTGTCTATCTGTCTATCTATAAGCAGTGTTATTTGCAGGAATCTGGACCTTGTGTCTGCAATAAAATAATTCTAGCTGTCTATAATGTGTCTATTTATTCCGATGCCGTACTTGTAAGAAAAGATTAAAACATCTTCATTACAGGTAGGTTTTTCATCCTATGGTAACAGTGAATTGGATTCTCGGATTACAGTTTTTCTCGGTTCGATTTGGTGCATTTTTCACAATCGCTTCTTCACACTTTTCACAAAATGTTGGTGCATTCTCAGAAACAATTGTGCAAACTGCAGAACCTCGAGGATAACCTGCAAAAGTGCGCCACTTCTCAAAATGAAAAGTTATGTCCTAAAAAGCAAGTTCAAACGTCAATGAAACTGTCTGTGTCGTCAAAAATAATATGTCCTAACACATTGAGTATTGAACCTCACAGTCAATGGACTTAGCTTCATGTTTTCATTGTGAAAGTTTACTCTCTCTGTGTTTTCAGAGTAAAAAAGTCAGATCTCGGTGACACTTGAGCACGGGACTTTTATTTTTTTTTTTTTTATTCTGTATGAGCACACTATACACGACCTATACAGACATTTACAGTAAAACTACAGTAAAGTTACACATAAGACTGTATTTAGAGAGTTATGACATTCTGTAAACATATATGTATATGTGTATGTATGTATGTATGTGTTGATCTATGTATGTATTGTAACAAGTATGTCTGTGTGTATCTATGTATGTATGCACTGTATGGTATGGGTGTATGTGTGTATCTATGTATGTTGTACAGTATGTTATATGTATGTGTGTATCTATGTATGTATGTACAGTCAGTATATGTATGTGTGTATGTGGTGTATCTATGTATGTTTGTCAGTATGTATATGTAAGTATGTGTACTGCATATGCTCTTGGATTTTTGTTGCACAAATGCGGTAGAATTGCAGCACCATACAGTATACTGTACATGTAGTTATACATAGAACTACCATACAAGAAATATCATTATGGCTAGAAGTGACAAATTTGAAACAATAAAGCATACCTCGGAGGGAAAGCTGAAATTCACCTGGGATAAATTGTTCAATTTAAGAAAGATTTACTGGAAAAAAAAAGATGTAGGAATGTATGAAATTAGCTTGACAGTTATGATTTTGAGAACTAGCTTCAACATATTTTGTATGTGATGACAAGCGATGAAATGAGGACAGTTAGTTTATAGTGAATGACTATTCAGAAGTGATAAGTGTGTTTATTTTGACTGAACAGGACAGAGCAAATGATGATGTTGAAAAAACGCTGAGAATTGTATGAAAGTATCTGATACATGAACAAAAAGCATTGAAATGTGTTCAGAGGAATGGAGAACTGCCATGATCAGTGCCCAATGACCAATGTTGTGGAAGTTGAAACAAATTGTTCTTGAGAACTTTTAGTCTGAGTGAAAAATGCACAAAGCGACTGCGAAAAAACTGTAATTCATTAGTCCTTGGACCAAGAAAAAGTGGGTATGTAGGGGGAAGTTACTTACTAGTTGTTCCATAACGTCATTTCTGTGTGCAAAATTATTAGTCCTAATCTCGTTATAATTCACTCCCAAGATAATGATTTAAGAGGTCAATGAAGTAAACCATTTCTCTTAGAAGGGTGTTTGGAATACAGGAAATCTGATCACACTCTTTATTTATTAAATGTTCACACCTCTTAATCTCTCTGTGACTGTTGATCTTTCGAATGAAGGAGTCTTCACGCAAAGTATTTGCATAATTTTATTGAAAAAAAATAGAATCTGCAAATTGCTACATGAGGTTGTTTGACAAAAATGCACACACATGTTATAAAGTAATAACCTATATCACATACAAAATGTCCTCTGGTGACATTGCTCCTACCGTGTTTGCTCCCAATGTGTTTTAAGCAAATAACACAATATTGTTCGCTTTATCCGCACTTGTCCATGTCCTGAAGAGGCATTTGAGGTCTGCTTGTCCATGGATAACTGTGAAGTTGACGTCGTTGGAGCAGCCTTGCCCTTGACACCCCCCCCCCCCCCCCCCCCCCCACCCCCCCCCCCCCCCCCCCCCCCCCCCCCCCCCCCCCCCCCCCCCCCCCCCCCCCCCCCCCCCCCCCCCCCCCCCCCCCCCCCCCCCCCCCCCCCCCCCCCCCCCCCCCCCCCCCCCCCCCCCCCCCCCCCCCCCCCCCCCCCCCCCCCCCCCCCCCCCCCCACCCCCCCCCCCCCCCCCCCCCCCCCCCCCCCCCCCCCCCCCCCCCCCCCCCCCCCCCCCCCCCCCCCCCCCCCCCCCCCCCCCCCCCCCCCCCCCCCCCCCCCCCCCCCCCCCCCCCCCCCCCCCCCCCCCCCCCCCCCCCCCCCCCCCCCCATAACCTAACCTCTTTCAGATGCTGCATCGATGAACTTGCGGAATTTCCTTGTGGCGAATTGTACACCCACCGGGATCCAGGATACAGTTCAACACAATCAAGCACCAAAAAGTCACATGATGTGCGTTCGATGAGATGTTGTAAAGATCTGGTTGACCATTGCACGCTGCCCCAAACCTTCTTGACTCTGCAACACCGCTAAACGCACACGGCCCTTGGACAACGTGGTTTGGCAAAAAGCACAAGATGAAGACACCGACCACCGCTAGCAGCATTGCGTTGCTCTTTGTTGACACCTTCTGGGGCGCTTTGCGTTGGTAAAACTCCTGGTGGAACTTCCTGGATTTAAATCGTAGATTACTTATTCAGATTGGAGCGGGAGATTGCGTGATGAGGTTTTGAACGATGAGTAGGTTGCACTATGACGAGAGAAAAAGATAACGCAAAAACATTGCGATTATGGGGGCCGAAATGGGTCGCGGCTACGGTTTTCTTTGAGAATCGGTCTTGATTTTGGTTCCTTCAAAAGCAGCGAGTTTTACCGTCGGAATCCAAGTTGGTTCCAGTGGAAAGTAGATAAGGAACGGTACATGGCGACGACAGGCAAGCCAAATGACAACGAAATTACCTATCCCGCGATTTCGACGGTCCGAAGATACAGCACTCCAACGGCTTCGAGGACGCCCCAGTATCGGTTGACACTAATAGCACCCAGAACACCCAAAGCCCGATGGAACAGAATATGTATTGACGAATAAAATAGGGATACTGTTAAAACGGACCATTAAATCGGAGTATTTCCAATCGCCACGGACGACTTTAATATCGATCCAAAAAGGCTTAGCGCGGACCACGAGAGAAGGTTCCGCCACGGTGAGGTTGTATGTTGATTGCGAATTTCGCCCATGGCTCTAGCTTCGCGAAGACAACGAATCACGAAACAGGACGAAGATGTTGGCGAGTAGACCCGTGGCGAAGATCAAAGCCGTAGATGGGTGGAAGAGGGCATAGCGAAACTCAGTGTCCAGGAAGGGAAGGGTGTTGGTGGGGAGAGGGGAGACAGCTGGGGTCGGCTGTGGGACCAGGGTGGGAGGGAAGCATAATGAGTCCAACTGGGGAGAGGAAAAACTGTGTTGAATATTTAAGTCTAAGATAAAAGATTATTTATTCCTCCCACAGTGGAGGAATGGTCAGTGTTGCATCATCAGTGATAGAACAGTAGGAATGAGGAGCACACGAGCTAAAATTGAGTTAAAGCCGTAAATAAAAGTGAGTAAAATTTAAATTACAATATCTAGATTTATCAAATAAAGAGCAAGTTTAAGATCTCTATGGTTGGCATAATAAAATGCAAGTTTAAAATGTACCTAAACCAATTTATAGTGGAGGCTAGTTTGCAATGTCGTCCCTAGGAGGGCCTTTCTAACACTATTAAAACACTTTTTACATTATAAAAATTCACATTATACAGACAAGGCAGACAAAGTTAAAACATTGAAGATAACAGAACAAGAAAGAGGGACATCACTAAGCGAGTTTCAGTGCAAATATGCGGTAAATTGCCAATAGTTTGTATAAAAGTGCTATGTGCAGTTAAGGTGCTTCACAACTGTTAAATGTAGTTCCAAACTTCTATTCCGCCCCAGGGCCCTATGGCGTAGTCCTGAGGGTAAAAAGTGTTGCTGGCAACAACATTTAGCCTTCAAACACTATCATTTTAGGTTTAGTACAAGTTTAGTTAAGAAAGGAAGAGAAATGGATTTGATACCAGGGCGAGAACAAGCCCAGATAAAACAAGTCTAGGGTTTTAGTCTGGACCACTGGGTTAATACTTTTTGGTGCAATTAAAATAAAGTCGGTAGTCTTTATTTGCAGCGGTCTAGTGCAGACGGTAACAGCGGTAAATAAGGCTTTGAGCGTCTGAGCTGAGTGTCCACAATAAGCACTATCAGATGAGAGAACATTTTTTCGTCCACAGTGGGGTAATGTCAAAATTATATATATAAGCAGCTGCTATGGTTCTTAGCTAGCTGTAAATGCCTAACATAAGAGCAGCAAGTATCAAGTATGCAGTATGTGTGTGTGGTGTAAAGTGTATGGCTGGATAATCAAGTCAGTTAAAGGGACATTAAGGGGACCCTCTGGGAATTGCCGTATTGCATATTGCACATGATTACAAACTTTACTATTTGCAGATGGATGGTCACTTGTACTAGTGTCAGCAGTTCTCAGTGTCAGTCTGACTGCAGCAGGAAGAAAGAAACTGTGAAACCTCTCCTTCACATCGTGGGTGTGTCTGTCACTGCTCTCTTGCTCTCAGAGATATAAGTTGAAATATTATTATGGTTATCTTAAGGAGGTGTTTCTGTAAGATGGTGATCAAGACAGGTGTCCTCCAGAAAGGCCTGATAATATTCAGATTCAAGCTTAAGTGTATAATGTACCGAGAAATTAATCTTAGACTCACAGTTTTCTACATTGGAAGTGCACATAATTCATTTCCAATTCAATTTTTTTTGCAATTCCCTAATCGCAACAGTTAGCTATCTCAGAAGACTTAAACTTTCAGTTCTGACACAAGAAATGCAATGATTTTAAAAAACACTAGAGCATTGGTCCAGAAGACAGACATGAAACATACAGAGCAATGCAAGGAGGTTCTGGAGTTTCACAGATTTAGAGAGATACAAGTTGGTATTCCGGCTGTGGGATATTTTATTACTATTGGTTTGAGACTCCTGGCAGCGTCCACTTGGGAGAAACTCCCACACTAGAGTGATTCAAGAAAAAACCCCAAGGGATTCTAAATTATCAGCTGTAATGTCTAGATGGGATGCTCTCTAACTGGTATACACACTTATCTGTACAGTTCTGCTTTTGTTTTAACACACAGCACGCACACACCACACACCACACACTCACGCACACGCACACCGCACACGTACACACACACACGCCACACACACACGGCACATGCAAGTCAGGGCTTGAGTCGATGTGGATTCCCCCACTATCTATAGTATTTCCCCTCTGAGCCATGGATGGAGAGATGTAACTAATAAAATTTTAACGGTTATATTACTCAACTCTTTCGACTCTTAATCTGTATAATTGTAAATGGATCAATCATATGCATATATGTAAATATGTATCATCATTCTGTATAAGTAACACTGTGTACTATATATAATAAAGACTGATTAAGAATGAGGAAATTAAACTCTAGACTCAGATCATCACACGAAAAAACAAATACATTCGAAGATTCGGGAATAATCACAGAGTTGTGGGAGATGATAAAGATTAAGAGTTCCGTATATTCGTCCCACAGTCGGATTTTCAGTGTTGCATCATCAGTGACAGAACAGTAGGAATGAAGAGCACACAGCACCAGATGAATTATCAATACCTTTATATGTTATATAAAATATTGATAAAATCTCTAACTTCAGCATAATAATAATTAACTAATATTTAATTAAATAAAACAAACAGACCAGAGAGAGAGTGTGAGAGGGGTCAGAGGGAAAGATCCCCAGATAGAGACTGTGACAGAACCAGAGAGAGAACAAAGAGACCCCAGATAGAGACCAGACAGAGTACAGAGAGAAAGACCACAGATAGAGACCTGTGACAGACAGAGATAGACCAGAGAGAGACCAGAGAGAGACAACCAGAGAGAAAAGACCCCAGATAGAACGAGGTCACAGAGAGAGAGGACCAGAGAGACCCCAGATAGAGAGGTCAAGAGAGGACCACAGATTGAGAGGTCACAGAGAGACCACAGATAGAGAGGCCACAGAGAGCAGAGAGAGAGACACACAGAGGAGAGACCACAGAGAGACCAGACGAGAGGACCAGAGAGAGAGGCCACAGAGAGACCTGATAGTGAGTCCAGAGGAGAGATGTAGATAGAAGATATTGTGTTTTCTAATTTGTTCTAATATGCCTCTCACCTGTTGGTCTGCTCCGTCTCAGTTGTCTTGTCTTGTGTGAGTGAGAGAGAGGGTAGAGAAGGAGTGGAGAGCAAGAGTGAAGGGGCGGGTCACAAAACTCCATCATTGTGCAACTATCTTTTTCGCTTCAGTTTTTTACCAGTTCACTTCAAATATTTTTTCCCTATTTTCTTGTTTTCTGACAAGGCAAACAATTACAATATATATGTTGGAAAGGCTCTTGCTAAAGTGAGAGATATAAACTTTTTTTTTATTATGTCAGAGATTGTATGTGTACTTTTAACGTTTTGAGGTATTACTACATTTATCTTGTGCTTAGTCATTGCTGCTCTCACTGGTGATTCAACACTGTATTTCCCCATGTTTGGACAAAATAAAGGATCTCTTAATTCTTTGTCTTAAAACATTGTCCTTCCTTTGTAGGCATGTCCTGCGGGTGATTCCAGTTCCACAGGTGCACTCTCTTCGGTCAGACTCCAGAGGACCCAGCAAGAGAGATACTTCATGTTTTAAAAACTTTGGGAAACATATGGAGACACTGCCCACTACAATGGCCATATCACAACAATAAACAGATCCGAAAGCAAAGAGAAAAAGCTAAACAATTATAATAAGAATGTTGGATCCAAACCTAACAAGCCAAGAGGAAGTAGAAGTTACCATGGAGGATGTACTGACGATCTGGAACATGGTGAAGGGTGAACGGGTCTTTACACTGCAGTAGGTGTAGGTTAGTACCATCTGAACCAACGGGACTATGAGGAGCACAGGGTCTTGCCTACTGCTGGGACTCGAGGAGCCAGGGCTGGCCTCCTTGGCTGGGACTATGAGGAGCACAGGGATGGCCTCCGCTGGGACCCTGACGGAGAGCAACAGGGACTGGCCCTCTTGAAGTGACTCCAAAGAGCACAGGGAATGGCCTCTATGCTGGGACTCTGAGGAGCGAAATAAAGGACTGGCCTCCTGCTCGTCCCAAGAGTAAGGACGAACATGGCAAGGCAGCGGTTCAAAAAAAACAGTTTTTTTTGAAAATGTGAGCTTCTTCTCCAAAATTTTCAATCCAGGTTAAAA